ACTTTATTGAATTCCTTGTAGACAGGTATGTGAGTAGAAGCCTCTGTGTGAAGGCCTGGAGCCCAGGGACAGGGCCACAGCCCCAGGGGGCAGGGCCAGCGGGGCACGGTGGAGGCCGTGGGCACCGCTGGTGGAAGTCTTGATGCTGCCATGCGTTCTATGACATAATTCATATCCTTTTCCCCATAACAGTGGCATAAAGAATGATGAGGACGACAATCGCGATGATGCTGAGCACCAGGGCAGCGATGTTCAGGCTCCTGGCGGTGGAGGCGTTGGCTTGGGCCCCAGTCACGTCGCCCACCATCTTCCTGTCCCTAGACTGGGGAGACCGCATGGTGAGGTGCCCCCTGGTTCCCACCTGCCCAGCTCAGTCTCCACCTGCCCTCAGCCTGATCTGGGACACCCCCTCCCCTTTGTTACAGACTCTCAGGGTCACCAGGAAGGTCAGGGCTCTGCCCCCCTCTGCTTTGGCCGCTCACCCCACCATGTGGGCAAAGTCCCCTATGAGTACTTTTTGCACTTTCTGAGAGCCTGGGGCACCTCGATCTGCAGTGTGAAGGGCATAGTTTCTGGAATTGGGCCGTAGGGAGAAGGCTTCCTCTGGGCTGGGGTTGGGAGGACACGTCTGACCCCATCCATCCCCATGCAGCCTCATGCTGTACCCGCACTAGGAAGGTTCCCCAGGCCAAGCACACACACAGGTTACATACACAAACATATAGACGACCGTGAGACACACACAAACTCCCTCCCCACACACACACACACACACACACAGGCCCCCACCTCACCCCAGGTGCCGTGGGGACAGGTGGAGCTGGCAGGCTCACGCCACTTTCCTGGGGCATCCCCCCACCCGCACGCACCTTCACGGAGTAGGCGAACGCGACAAAGCCCAGGCAGCAGCAGTTCATGAAGAGCGTGTTGAACAGGGACCAGACCACATGGTCGGGCACGGAGGTGTCGCTGCGGATGTTTATCACAGTGGATGTCACAGGAGCCGTCCCCAGCGTGGCCACTTCGTGCTCCTCCTTGGACATGTCTTAGGGTGAGGGGAGACACTGTTGTCACAGGGAAGAAGTGTGGACAGTGTGGTTCCTGATACCCATTTATAACCATTGTGGAATGAGGTCCGCATGCTGGGGATGGTCCTTGGTGGGGCTGGGCGCCCCGCCCTCAGCACTTCCTCCCCCTGCGCTCTGGAGTTCTATTTTCTCAGAACTTCCTGGTTCCTGGTGTCTGTACACAGGTGGAGAGGAGGGGCACAAGTTACTGGAACTTGTCCCAGGCCTGGGAGTCTTCCCACCACAGACCATATCTGCGAGACCTCCATGTCCCAGTTCATAGTCTCTGCCAGGCCCCACATGGGCTTTTATACCCCAGTCCCCAGAAGGAGCCCCCCAAAGCTCACACCTCACCTGTCACAGGCCTCCTCTGCTAACATTGCCCTGTCTTGGAGTTGAAGTCCCTATTCCAGATGGGGTTTGGGGTGACCTAAACCTCACTGTGTCTACTGAGTGCAGTTCAGAGGCCCAGTGACCAATGTGACTGTCCCCAAGGAGCCTTCCAGGCTCAGGCACTGGTACTCTGGTGCTCACTAGCGGATGAGCAGGCTGTGGTGTGTTGACCTAAAAAGAAACTGAGGCCAAATACATGTAGCAAAGATTTATTGAACCAATGTGACAGAGTTGCAACTGAGGACACAAATAGTTCAGGTCACCCTGAGAAATGCACTCCAGAGAGGCCGGCAGAGCTTAGCATTTTATCATCACAAGAAGGGGGAAGGATCAAAGGAGAGACAGAGAACAGCCAGCCTCATGACCTCGCCGGTCCTTCTGCTGGCTGTACATGACAAAGATTTGGTGTTATCACTAGGTTACATCCTACATGCAGGGATCTAGGGTACCGGTCACAAGAAGCATTCGAGGTCATTTTATGGCTTTCTGGTACCATTGCTTCTAAGTAAAAATGGTCTTCTGATAACATTTTCCAGGACAGGTGGACGTGACCGCTGACTCATTCCAGATCCCCCAAGGCACTGTCATTTAGCTGGTCTAGTCAGAGCAGATTTTTTGGTCGCGAGTGTGAGACAGGATGATTCCAGGGCATGTGGGAGCAGGTGGGAGCACAGGTCAGGCATTGGGCAGCCCCTTTTTCTTCCCTCCTTCCTGTGCCCCATCGTTTTCTAAGAGGCCATGTAGCTTGGGGAAGGGTGATGGGGGCTCTGGACTAAGTACCAAACCCAGTGGGGCCAGGATAGGGTGCAATGCCCCGCACTGGCCAATGCCTTCCTGAAATTACGGTGTTTTCCTTTTCCTGCCTCAGTTCACCCTCACGGAAAGATGGTGAAATCAGAGCAGGAAGAGGTAAGTTACCTGTGGTAAAGCAGTTCCTGTGACAGCTGCAAATGATGTCAGTGGGCCGATGTTTCCACGGAGAAAAGCAGAAACAAAACTCAGCGGTGGTCCCTGACACCCACACCCCTTTCTGGAACCTTCTTTCGATTGCTGGGCTGCCTCTGTCTCTCTGAGAAGCCCCAGGACCAGGATCCCTCCACACGATTGTGCCCCAAGGCCACCACTGTGTCCATCCAGCCCTTGGAATGTGGCTAGTTGCCATCTCAAAGTGCCAAAAGTATAAAGCACATACCAGATTTTGAAGACTTGGTGAGGAAAAACGAATTTTTTTTTCCTGTAAAATGTAAATATTTCATCAATAATTTATTATTATATGTTGAGGTAATATTTTGGATATTTTGGTTTCAAGAAAATAGGTTATTAAAATAAATCTCACTTGTATCTTTTTACTTCTTTTGAAATGTGGCTCTTGTGACATTTGAAGTTGGGTTTGTCGGGCACACCCTCCTACACTCACGCCCTGTGGCCCTTTCCACTGGGAGCATTTTGAATGGAGCAACAATGTATCTAGAGATGCAGGGCCTTTTGTGGAGATGGACCCCCCTACAGGTCCCCAAGGACCCAGCTTCAGCCCAGTGACCGAGTCCTTTCTCCCATTTTGGGTTGGGGTCTGCTGGTCACAGTGGAACTGTGTCTTCGAGGCTTGGACCCTTCTTCAGATGTGCCTCTTGACACAAGTGCAGGTCTCTGTCCAAGTCTGACTCTGGCTCTGCTGGGTTCCTGTGCTGTGGGCAGCATGGGGCTGGATGGGGGGGTCCTGCAAACTGTCCCATCCCTGTCCCCTGACCCTGGCATGAGTGCTGTCTGATTACTCCTCTCACCTGTCTTTCAAAAACAATCACCTTGGGGGCCGGCCCGTGGCTCACTCGGTAGAGTGCAGTGCTGATAACACCAAGGCCCCGGGTTCGGATCCCATATAGGGATGGCCGGTTTGCTCACTGGGTGAGCGTGGTGCTGACAACACCAAGTCAAGGGTTAAGATCCCCTTACCGGTCATCTTTTTAAAAAAAAAAAAAAAAAAAAAATCACCTTGGAAGGTGGCATTCATATCTAAAGTCAGGAGTTTTACAAGACATTTCCCAATGGATTTCCAAGGACAGATTTAAATCAGAATAGAACAACTTGGCAACAGTAATGAAAGCTCACATCACCTCTGATTGCACAGGGAAGTGAGGCGGATATTTCTGTGAACCCACTCACATTTACACCCTGTGTATTAGTCAGGGTCTCCAGAGAGACAGAATCAATAGGATATGTTATAATTATCTGAGAGGGATTTATTAGGGGAATTAGCTCACATGACTATGAGGAAAAGTCCCACGATAGGCCGTCTATACACAGGATGCTGGTAGCGTGGCTCAGTCCAAGTCCAAAGGCCTCAGGACCAGGGGAGCTGATGGTGTCCTTGGTGTAAGTCCTGGAACCCAAAAGCTGAAGAGTCTCGAGCTCTAATGTCCACGGACAGGAGAGAAGCGTGTGTCCCAGCTCCAGTGGATTGAGAGAGAGTCACCTTTTTTTCTGTCTTTTCTCTCCAGACCCCCAGCGGATCAGATGGTTCCCACCCCCACTGAGGGTGGGTCTTTCCCACCCGGGCCCCTCAGAATCTCATGCTAATCTCTGCTGGAAACACCCTCATGGACACACCTGAAAAGATAACTTTACCAGGTTTCCCAGCATTCCTTCTTCTAACCAAGTTGACACCTAGAATTAACCTTCACAAGGTACTAAACCAGTTTTTTTGTTTGTTTTGTTTTTTTGCAGCTGCCCAATATGGGGATCCAAACCTGTGACCTTGAGGTTATTAAGGCTGCGCTGTAGCCAACTGAACTAACCAGCCAGCCTTAAACCAGATTTTTTAAAAACATATCTAAGGTGTAGAAAGATATCCCTTCCTCTTTTTTAAGTCCATGCTCTGGAATTTCATAAGATGGTGCTTTAAGGAAAAAGCAGGTCTCTACGGGGTCTCTCGCTACTGGCCAAAAAGCACTAGTGAATAAATAGTTTTAATTCACAGAGAAATAAGGAGCATTCATCTTCCACAAAAGCAATGTCTCAGGGCCGGCCCGTGGCTCACTGGGAGAGCGCGGTGCTGACAACACCAAGTCAAGGGTTAAGATCCCCTCACCGGTCATCTTTTGAAAAAAAAAAAAAAAAAAGCAATTTGAAATAATATCCTTAAGTAGGTGCCCTCTCTTTCTGACAAGGCACTGGGAATAAGGGATTGTCCAGCGGTGACAACCCGTTCCTCCCCAAGCCCATCCTTCGATGGTGGTGGCAGCAGCTGGACAGCAACCACAGCTGGGTCCTGTGCCCAGAGCCTGGGCCAGCTGCCCAGCTGGCCGCAGATGCAGGACAGATGCGCAGGAAGACCTGGGACACGGTGAAGGGTGAAAAGCATCTTCCGTGAGCCTGAGGGTGAACAGTCCGGGGGTGCCCCCGCCTTCTTGCTGTAATGAAACTGGCTATTCCCAGGTGACACGACTGCCCCTCCCACTCTCTTCACACCCACACGTGGGACACGTGGTGCGTAGAGGTGCCGGAGCTGCACTTGGAACCCCACTCTGCTGTTCACCAGGACCCCACCTTCCTCCTGGAATCTCCTCTTCCCCACCTGCTGGCGGTTAGGCGTGATCCTGTGACTGGCTGTGGCCCATGAAGTTTGCGTGGATGTGAAGGGTGTCACTTTGGGCAAAAGCTTCAAGAGATCAGGCATGACTCAATACATCACTTGTCCCACCTCTGCAGTCACGGGAGCACATGTTGGGGGCCCTCCCTAGCCTAAGTCCCTGAGTGACAGCCATGCACAGACCCCATCCCCACCACAGACCCATACTGGAGAGGTCACACAAGCAGGAATCAAAGCTTTCTTCGAAGTCACTGAGATTTGGGACCATTTGTTTCCACTGTGCGATCTAGCCCATCCCGACTGACACAGCGAAGACAGGCTGGGGAGAGTGGGCTGCAGTCAGCAGAGAGGAAGCAGGTGGCAAAACTGCCCCCGTGGCATTTGGAAGGCAGAGCAGGAACCGAACACACTGGTGGCCCTCGAATGAGCTGCTGGATTGCAAATATCCGCACAGCATGCTGTTTGCTGCTGGCTGGGTGTTCTGACATTGTAAGCTCAGGAGAGAACTGGGTGGTGGGTGAGCAGGAATGAAAGGAAATAGAGAAAATCTAGACAGCGGGGACTTGCAGGGTTAGAAGAGGTGACAACTTTTCAACTCTAACCAGTCAAAGGTAAAATTGCAAGGACTCTTCAGTGATAAAGCTCAGTGTTGCTGTAAGGGTCCCATCGGGGTATGGCTGTCGCACCCATTGTCACACACTGCATGGATCAAGGTAGCTTAGAGCAAGGCTCCAACCAAGGGGTGGTGCAGGAAGACCCTTCCACTGCACGAAATGGCTCAAGAGAGAGACAAAGGCAGTGGCCGGCCCTGACACCTGCATGAAGTGCAGCGAGCACAGGAGTGGGGACGGGAGGGCATAATCGAGAACCTGGAGCAAAAGGAACTATTGCGTGAGAACCCAACTGAAATCAAATCGAAGTTTAGAAGCTTATTAAATACTTGAAAGAGCTGCATTGCCCCCTACAAAAATCAGCCTGGATGCAAAGAGGCTGTAACAGCTTGAGACCGAAAATAACCCCTGCACCCCCAA